CCATTCATCCATCCATCGATACATTCATCCATCCATTTATCCAATCATCCATCCATCCAATCATCAATCCGTCCATCCATTCATCCAATCATCAATCCATCCATCCATCCATCTATACATTCATCCATCCATTTATCCAATCATCCTTCCATCCAATTATCAATCCATCCATCCATCCATCCAATCATCAATCTATTCATCCAATCATCAATCCAGTCATCCAATCATCAATCCATCTAGCCATCCATCCATCCATCCATCCATCCATCCATCCATCCATCCATCCTCTTTACCCACTTATTCTTTCCAGATTGTGAGGGAGCTGGTGCCTAACTCCATCAGTCACTGGGACACCCTGAACAAGTTGCACATGAGACAAATGAGACAGACAATCATTCCCACTCTCACTCACTCCTAAAGACAATTTTGATTTACCTATCAACCTAACATGCATGGTTTTCATCAGTGGGAATAAACCAGAGTGCCCTGAAAACAACCCCACGTGCACAGGGAGAACACACTACAGAGATAGGTCCCAAGATGTGAGACAACAGCTCTGACCACTGTGCGGCCAAAAACAGAACGTTAGGTTAAATGTTATCTAACAAAGATCAGGCATTGGCTTCTCAATCTAAAGTTAAATAGAACAATTGGTTTAAGATATCATTATTAGGAAATTACAACTCCTTAGTAACCTTATTAATCCTCATTAGGTTATCTAACTTTCTGTTTTTTATTTAGTTCTCATTGCATGTGTGTTGCTAAATTTATTTGAGGTTGACAAGTCAAAGCTTTATCCTTGTTAGGTAACATATTTTAAGGATTAGGCTTTCATTTACTCTGATAAACAGTTTAAGCTTAGGTCTGAGGCTGCAGAGAGCTTTGGAGTGAGACAAGGCAGACAGCTACGGGAACGCTTGTAGCATAAAAACAATACGACGTTCAGCATCGAAAGGTTTGATTATATTACGTCACAATTGTAATGATTGAAAGAAAAATAATTCTACTGTAAATAATGGAACATTTGAGACATGAAGTCAAACTTATATCAAATTTATAGAAAAGTTCAAAATATTCCAAAGCAAATACATCATTCATTAAGACTCTAAGTTAAAACTTACAGATTTTCTTGTAGTTGTGTTTTTCCAACTGGTCCCCAACAGTTCCAGCACAGTGAGATGCCACCATAAGCTGGAAATTAATCTTTTTAATTTAATGTTTTTGTTGTGAGCTACAAATGATCTTTTAAAAGATTGTAATTATACTTTGCTCTGCACTATGAAACATGACAATACAGTAAAATACAATGTAATGTAGTACAATACAAAATACTTTATTTTCCCTTTTGAAAAATGGGTTTTGGACCTTTATTTTAAAAAAATCTAGAAACATTGAATGTGTAATATAAAATCAACGTTACAAAAAACACATAATTAATCAGTATGGTTTTTATCCACTGTATCTGCATTAAACAGTTTTCAAGTTACTTTTGTTTAAACATGAAGAATTGCCTTCTCTGCACAACATTTTATATTTTATAAGTATATTCAGTTCTGATGCAAAATATTGTTATTAAATTAACAGATAAACGGCAAAGAAAGTTGAACTGAAATCCTTAACGGTTTTCATCCAGAACAGATAACAGTTGGTGTAGAAAAATCCTTCTTTTCCATGCAGTCTCATTTTTGTAGCAACATTTTAATTGCAAATATCACAATAATGTAATCACGGAACAAATCTATAGGGAACCAGAGAACCTGACAGATTAACCTTTAGAATTAGCTACAGTTATTTTTGTCAAGAGATAGAGCAGGGCTGTTCAACTAGGGGGGCACAGTTACCGAAAGTAAGAGCGCAGGGGCTGGAAATCCATTAGTTATTGTTATTAAGTTTGTTTTATATTTTAAAATCTAGTTTTATTTCAAAATAAACCCATTAGTGGGCTGATTTGTGCACACCCATGGACCTGATTTGGCCCCTGGGCCGCCAGTTGAATAACCCTGAGCTATAGGATCCGTTTCTTTATACATAAGAAAAAAAAAATCCTACAATTGTCAAATTTTAACATGAAATGGCTCCGTGGTAATAAGAGTTTTTGCAGAATAACAGTAAAATTACTTTTTTTTGTTGTCATTTTACCTAAAAAAGTAGTTAACATTTAAATTTAACAAGACATAAATTTAATGAAATGAAGATGTAAACCAACAAAGTGTCATTTGCTGATGTAAGTTTTTGTTTCTGACAGGCGATTTTTAAGCTGATTCCAAAAGACGAAGTGGGAGACCTGCCTGAGGACGAAAACACGCCTGAGAAGAGGACAAATAAACTTTGGGAAATCTTCCAGAAGGGCGAGAAAGGTAAGAAAAGAGTTGATGAAAACTGGACGAATAGTTCAGATGAAGCTGGCGGCTTTAAAGTTCCCATGAAATGAAGTGGATGTGTTATTTAATACTTGTCAAAGTCTCTTTGGAGTTATTGCCTTTTACATGATTTATAATTTCATGCTTGGGTAAAAATATGTTTGTCTTTTATTCAGATCGAGTCGCTGAGGGAGAGTTCATCCAAGTGCTGTTGGAAAATGAAGAAGCTCTTCGTTTGATTCAGTACGAGCCTTCAAAGTAACATTTCTCATCTCCGACGGATTCCTCGTTCCCTCAGTTTCTGTCATTCTGTTAAAACGATGACACGTTCCTGAACACAAAGTGTATTAATGACTCCCCAGAATAAATATTAAAACATTATCTCCTGCTTGATTTTTCTTAACATGTGTTTCCCGTACGTGTGCACTGTCCGAGTCGTTTTGTAGCGTGTAAAATAAATGTGTTCATTTAAAAACGCACCCAGGTCACCTGTGATTGGATCATAACAATCGATCAATCAATATTAAGATTAAACTATCCATAGATGAACTACTGTCTGAGTTTGAGCAGAAGGAAACTTTCTCTTTATAAATGTTACAACTTAAACACATTAATACAAAAATGTGGATGTTTTCTGCTCAATCAATCAGTTTTTTTGTACAGACCTCATGAAATAAAGTATTCATTCATTCATTCATTCATTCATTTCTGACAGAGCCAGGATTTAGTTTAGATGCTTTAAAAAGTGATCATGAAGATTTGTTCCAGCATCAAGTGTCCCGTGTCTTAGCTTATTTAATGTTGTCCTGTAAAACTCCTGACCTATAAGCACATTGCAACTTTGATTCAGATCTTATAATTTAGATAGAACTGGATTTTTCTTTGTCATGATGTCTACAAATGAGAACAATAAAGTTCTAACAAAAACTAGAACTGCCTGTTGTTGTTGTTTTTTGTTTTTTTAAGACAGTTGCTATGCATGAATATATCTCACTCACATTATTTTAACAGAAATTCCAAATTATTTTTTTATTTTTACTTGGTAACTTGAGGTTATTTATTGACACATCAGACTTGTTTTTATTATTATTATTATTATTATTATTATTATTATTAACATAATATATTTATTATGTTGCCAAATAAAACAAAATAGATGCTTCACATAATTAACTGCTTCTAATCCCATTTGATCATTAAAGGGTTAATTAACATAATAGCCCATATTTATTAAATTAACAACAAAGTATAACAAAAAACAAACAAAGGTTGTGGCTGTAAATGAGCCATACGTCTGTGATTATTAATAACTTATCTCTTATGATATTGTTGTTGTTGTGTAACGGTTGTATTATCAAACCTCATTTGTAATTACTCTGCTGCCATAGTTCTGTTCAATGACCCGGTTCATGTCCGCCTCACTGCCTCTTTTAAGTCAATCCTTCTCGGACTGCCTGACTGGAGGGGATTACCGACATAATCTCCTGTCCAGCATCTAAAAACATCTGTCTAAAAATATAAACCTCTTCATTTTTTTCGATTTAGTTTTAATATTTTTCTCAGACGTGAAGCTGAAGCTAAAGATCAGGGAACAAGTCAGGCTAATTAAATGTTATTTACGCTTTGAGGATTTAGTGAACAATCATCATCACAGGGTTAAAACACTAATTACTTTTAAAGAAGATAAAAAGAGTTTATAAAGTCGTTAACCTTTAGACAACGCTAATTAAAACTGAAATAACATAAATATTTTGGATAAAAATAATTTATGTTCCTAAAATTGAGTTGAGACTCCTCTTTTGGTCACGAAACAAAAAATCAAAAACAGGACTAAGGGTTTAGCATCACCCAAGAAGAGCCCTGTTTAAAAAGTTTAGGACCATGACCCCTACTTCTTTATGAGGGGAACCATTTCTAGCTGTTTTAAATTAGACATATATATGTATATATTATTCAATTAAGCCAGCTTTTTGATTTTTTGTTTCGTGCCCCAAAGAGGT